TTTGCATGGACATGGATTTATAATCCCATCTTGAACCCGGTCTTAAGCGGGGCACGAGGTGAAAAATCCCCATTGAGATGGCACACGGAATGACAGTTTTGCCTTTCTTGCTCCATTACCGTCCTATAATTACATATCCATGTAAACTTTATCATGCAAAATATCTTTGTGCATGATTTTTCCATCGTGGTTGGTTGAAAATTAACAGTAACACTTTGAAGAGAGCATTACTACGCAATTTTACGAGATTAAATGCATCGATTCATCTCATCATAAAAAAATAAATAAAATTGAACCCAATTAAAGGATTCGCGCACTTGATTAGGCCTTACAGGCTCGATCATGATTCAAATCTCATTACAAGCGTGAAATTTGTTTTCACGATGAATACCACTTATGTAATATTTTTCCCAACGTAGTGGTTAATCATAATATTTATTGTGATGAATCGGCTAATCGCCATCTTTTATAAAATTTCTATTGTCATGGAGAGAAGACACATATAGCATAATTATGCTTAAGCACAATGAATTATTACACACTAATAATTCTGATGCATATTTGATTAGTTCATCACATTATGGTGCACGGGGTTTCAGGGTAGGGGTCCCTAACTTCACATATTGGGTAGTAAGGTCGAGGGTAGAACGACCAAACCGGCGGTGTTGCCGGTGTCTCGGGCTTTTTCTCCTCGGTTTTCTTGGCTTCCCCGACACTGATCAAATCCGCTGGCGCAACGCATTTCCTTAGCGCCCTCGTGAGTACCACCGCGTCGATTCCATCTCCGACCACCTCTACTTCGTCCCCCTTTACAGCGGCCGATTCGACACCTTAAAAAAAAATTTATAACACGTTTTCAGCAGGCGAACTTAAAGGCCTTACATGGTAGAAAACCCAAAACCGAGAAATCGAGAAAATTTGAAGGAAGTTAGTAAACCTGATACACCAACAACAGTCTTCAAGGCCTTGCAGCGAGATTTCTCATTGTTCATTGACACTACCCTAATCACAATCTTTTGCTGTAAAAAAGCAACAAACAAAAATTTAGTATCGAAATTCGGTCGAACTTTTAGAGAAAATTAATGAACAAACTCTATGCTTATGCGGTTTACTATAGGATTAAATGAACTATATATATACCTTCATTTTCTTGATTAGATAACGGAGTAATGAACAAAATGGATTCTAACAAGAGTTCACAATGATAGAACTCTTTCTTCTCTTTTTCTTGGTAATGAGAGAAGAATTTGAAAGGTGTGAGGAGTGTAAGAAATGGTTGT